TCAATCTTTTTTTTCAGCTTTATTTTATTTTATTTTTTTTTTTGATCTTTAGTTATTTTTCGAACTTTTTTTTTCAATTTTTTTTTGATCTTTTTTTCTTTTTTGATATTTTTTTTTATTTTTCAATCTCAATCTTTTTATTCAATTTTTTTTTTTTTTGGTTTAGTTTTTTTATTTAGTTTTTTTTTTATTTTTTTTTTATTAATATTTTCTTTCACTTTCAAAGGTCTTGTACTTCACCGAGAAAGGTTATAGAGACTGGGATTAAGTTTTTGAACCTGGAACTGGTACCAAGATAAGTACTAGTTTATGTTCTTCTTAGATTTTTATTTTTTTTGTATCTTTACTAATGCTTTCTTTTCTTTTTTGTAGGTCTTGTACTTCACCAGGAAGGGTTATAGAGGCTGGGATTGAGTTTTTGAACCTGGAACTGGTACTAAGATAAGTACTAGTTCATGTTCTTCTTGGATTTTTGTTTTTGTGTCTTTACTAATACTTTCTTTTCTTTTTTGTAGGTCTTGTATTTTACTGGGAAGGGTTATAGGAACTGGAATTGAGCTTTTGAACCTGAAACTGGTACCAAGATAAGTACTAGTTCATGTTCTTCTTGGATTTTCATTTTTTGTATCTTTACTAATGCTTTTTTTCTTTTTTGTAGGTCTTGTACTTTGCTGGGAAGGGTTATAGAGGCTGGGATTGAGTTTTTGAATCCGAAACTGGTACCAAGATAAGTACTAGTTTATGTTCTTCTTGGATTTTTGTTTTTTTGTATCTTTACTAATGCTTTCTTTTCTTTTTTGTAGGTCTTGTACTTTGCCAAGAAGGGTTATAGGGGCTGGGATTAAGTTTTTGAACCCAGAACTGGTACCAAGATAAGTACTAGTTCACGTTCTTCTTGGATTTTTGTTTTTTGTATCTTTACTAATGCTTTCTTTTCTTTTTTGTAGGTCTTGTACTTTGCCGGAAAGGGTTATAGGGACTGGAATTGAGTTCTTGAACCCGGAACTGATACAATACACCTCCTATTTAAGTGCCTCAAGATCTTGTTTTTTGGAATTATACTTCTCTTATTTCTGGGTATAGCTCAAGACATTTTTTGAAATTATACTCCTCTTACTTAAGTTCTGGGTACAGCTCAAGATTCGAGCGTTCAGACTTGTATAATTATATTTTAGATATATAAAATGTGTGGTAAATTTGTTTTTTTTGATTTAACTAGTGCGATATTTGTGCAAAATGCAATATTGCATCATATTAACATAATAAAGCCAATGCACATAATATGTAACTTTTTTGATCTAAATTTGACTTGTAATTAATTAAACAATTACGGTGTAGCATAGTAATAATTGCTAGTTATCGTTATTGCTATTTGTTTTTAATCTCTAATTTAATTGCACTGATATCGTATAATCAAAATTTTTTTATTGTATAAAAATACGGTTTAATTTGCATGAGTTTGAAGACTCTAGTTCGGATATAAGACTTGCTTTTACACGTGCAGGCACTAATAAAAAAAAGTTCAATATGAACAAGAATTGATTACTAGTTTTTAAAAAAAATATATAGCACAAGTTACTATTCCAAAAACTAAAATTTTATTAATATTTGTTAGAACTGTGTTAAGATTTATATTTTATTAAAAGTTTTAATAAATAATAATTATTATAAAATATAAGTCTGCAAGAATTAGATGAAAAATAGATTTGATGGCTAAACTTGTTCATCTATATAAATATTATAAAGATGTCTAGCTTGTCCAAAATAACCGTAGTTAAATAAAATATGAGTGTCGTCTAGAAGTAAAAAACAGAATTTTAGCAAAATATTGCTAAGTTGTCAGGAAACATACCTTATGTTTAAAATTTTCATTACAGATTCTTTACCTGTAATCTTTTTGTCACATCTCAAAGGCCGAAAAAAGTAGCATCTATCGTAATGACCATTGTCAATCTGTCAAGTAATTATGCATAATTACAGATCGGCCGAGATGTCATGCATGTCTATTTTTTTCCTTTTGTTTTTGTGATTTTAAAAGGCAAACAAATACCCCATTCTCATTTTTCAAGAATTGGTCAACCACCATATTACAGATCGGCCAAGATATCACATATATTTGTTTCTTTTTTTCTATTTTATTTATCTTTTTTTGTTTTAAAAATCAAATAAAATGCCAATTGTTAATTGTTGAGAATCAGCTAAACCATCATGTATTATTTTAAATCAGCCGAAATATTATGCATGCCTTTGGTTTTTATGCAACTCTATGCTTATTGTCAATCATAAATCAGTCAAGCTATCATGAATAATTATAAGTTAGTCGAGACATTATGCATATACTACACAAGACTGAACAAAATACAAATTTGTAAAATAGCTATTAAATTAAATTGATAAATCGGCCAAAACATCATGCATATACTTATACAAAACCAGAACACAAAATACAAATTTGTAAAATAGCTATTAAATTAAATTGAAAAATAAGTTAATTGCAATACTGTTACATATACAATAAATGAATATAAAATATATAATGTATTTTATTTATTAAATAAAGAATAACTTATAATTCAAACAAGTATATAAGGATATATTTTGTTCCTTTCCTAAATCACAACACATTTTACCAAAAAATAAAGTAAAAAATAAAAACTTCGATATTCAAATCAAGATTAAAAAAATGTCTTCCCAAAATATTAAAATACATAACACCAATGAAGAATATAAAGAATGTTCTCGCTATAAAAAGTCTAAACCCATCGTTGAATTTCAAAGGCTATCTAGAAACAAGATTCAAATATATAGATTGTACAATACCTGTGCTGAAAAAGAAAAACTAAGTAAAAGAGAGAAGCGTCTCAGAGGAAAATCATCTTACAATGAGAATCTTCCTTCTCTTTCTTTAAATGAAGAAATATTGGTAAATGCTGACAGCAGTGAAGATGAACTTATATATAATATGTATGATCTTGAAGGGTTTGTATTATGCAAATTTAGAGAGAATGAAGAAAAAAGTGACCCAGTTGAATTTTTCACAATAGTAGAAATTGAAAAAGAATTGGTTAATGATGAAATCTTGTTTCTTGAATTTGAGAATGAAGAACAAAAATTTTGCAATATTGTCAACGCGTTACGTATACCTCTCCAAGAGGGATCAGGATATTATTGGGAGCTTAGAAATCTATATGTTAATAAAAAAAATGATCAATATACTGGATATGCAACTGATCATTTAGGTTGTGCTCAAAGAATTGGTCATCAATATAAATGTTAAGATAACCAACCTGTAAAGCGAATAAGTGAAGCCCGGCCTGCTATTGAGCGTTATGCCTGTGATAGTGCTATAGTTATTAAAGTAGATCTATGCGAGCAGCATGCTACAATATCCGTAAAGCATCAATTATCTTATGAGTGCCCCACGTATAGAGAATCAAATTTACTTTTAAATGCTATAGAATGGATAAAAAAACATATTAATCAAAGTTTTAGAAAAATAGAATTTTATAAACAACTATATGAAAAAAGTTTAATTAATTCATCGGTTCATACTTACCAGCAAGTGTACTATTGGGCTCATAAGTTTTCACAGATAGAATATGTAACTAATGTAGCTAATCAATTAATATCTGCGAGAAACTTCTTAGAAAAAGAGGAGTTGGTAAAAATGGGATATAAAGTTATTTACTATTGAGAAAATGACTTTATATGTTTTTTAGGATTCACCACCCTGTTTCTTCGAAACTTACAAGAAAGTATCAGCAAGATTATTATTGATTCGACATTCAAAATGAATTAGAAACATTTCGAACTCTTTGCAGTAAATGCAAACTACTGTGAATATAGTGTTCCTCTTGCATATTTATATGTAAGTACATGCTCTGTATCAGAAGAATAGCTTTCAAATCCCAATAATAATGTATATACACGAGTCAGGGTGCTTAAGGAGTTTTTTATTAAATTACGAAATAAAGGTGTTCTACTAGCTTTTATACTTTTGGATAAGGATGCTGGGGAGATTATTGCTGTTCAGAAAGCTTGGTCTCAAGCAATAGTGCAGCTTTGTCTTTAGCATGTAAAACGTGCAATTGAGTCTAAGTTAAAAGAAAAAAAGAATCGAAAAAGTCAATATTCGATACAGAAGGCAAAAAAAGCAAATATACAATTTGACTTTATTGATCCAACTTGGTATCCTAAAGAACAAGATAATATTATATACCCTAAAGAATTTAGGGAAGAGTTACTAAGAATGATCACAAAGCATACATTATTGTATCCACTTATATCTATAGATATAAATCTTTTTTTTACTGCAGACGAGATTCGATACCAAAGTATATTGGAGGCATACCAGTTCTGTCATCAAAAAAATCTTATTAGTTTATGGGGATATTTGTGAATAAACTGGTACAATATAAAAGATTGGTGCTTGTTTGCGTGAGCTGCTTACCCAAAAGCAATGCCAATTGCTAGAACAATAATAATTGCAGAATCATATTGGTGTATTCTTAAGTATAATTACAAGTTTAATTATAACCGGCCGCATTTAAATTGTCTAACACAAATTCTCACCAGAGAACTTGTCTCAGATATAGAAAATTCTTGGAGGAGGTTTTGTTATAATTGTGACTTTCTGTCTTGGTGGGATATTTTCAAGCATGATTAAAAATCTGCAACAGAGAAAAAAATAAGTATGACAGACAATTATCATACTGATATAGGCAACTAGATTTGTTTTTGCCCTGCTTTTCTGAATAACCCTTATTTTGTATATAAACACCTGGTAAAGAAATATATTACAAAAAATCTACTATTTTTTCCTCGATTTCTTACCACTATACAGCATCATGATTATCCACTTATTGTATTTGATGCAAGACTCTTAAGAATTAATTTGAATAATAATCCTTGGAATAATGTTTTACAGAATAATATTATAGAACTTGAGCCTGAATCGGGAATGTCCAATGTTCATAGTACTAATGCATTTATTCGTGAGCGTTATAATGCTATCGAAAATAGAAAAGTTGATCTAAAAAATGATCAAATAATATTTGAAAAGTTAGTAACAATTATAAACACCAATATTGAAAATGACAGGCTCTATAAAGAATATAGAATTCTTGTATATCCCCTTATTACTGAAGTTAACGCATGCCAAGAGGTTCTTAATGCAAGAATACAGCAACGAACTTGGAGATCAGGCAAAAATAGTAAATTATCTTTTTGGTTACAATAGATTTAAAATATATTAGCAGTAGTACATATTACAAAAAACAATATATATATATTAGATTTGACAATGTAATAAAGAATAAATAAAATAAAATAAAAATTTAAAAAAAAAGCAGTTGTGTAAAAAAAATATACATATTAGTACTAGCGCTAGAGAAAAAAATTAATTATTTAATTATCATGTTGCACAATTACGAATGATTATGTGCTTTTTACATTTATCGTAAAGTGCAACTGATATTTACAATGTCTTGAGCTGTACCCCGAGTACTTAAAAGGTGTATAATTCTAAAAAACAATATCTTAAGCTGTACCCGGGTACTTAAATAAGAAGGGAAAAATGTCTTGAGCTATACCCAGAAATAAGAAAAATATAATTCCAAAAAACAAGGTCTTGAGGCACTTAAGTAGGAGGTGTATTATACCAGTTCTGGGTTCAAGAACTTAATCCCAGTCTCTATAACCCTTCCCAGCAAAGTACAAGGCCTATAAAAAAGAAAAGAAAGCATTAGTAAAGACACAAAAAATGAAAATCCAAGAAGAACGTAAACTAGTACTTATCTTGGTACCAGTTCTGGGTTCAAAAACTCAATCCCAGCCCCTATAACCCTTTCCGGTGAAGTACAAGACCTACAAAAAAGAAAAGAAAGTATTAGTAAAGACACAAAAAACAAAAATCCAAGAAGAACATGAACTAGTACTTATCTTGATACTAGTTTCAGGTTTAAAAACTCAATCCCAGTCCCTATAACCCTTCCTGACGAAGTACAAGATCTACAAAAAAGAAAAGAAAGCATTAGTAAAGACACAAAAAACGAAAATTCAAGAAGAACGTGAACTAGTACTTATCTTGGTACCAGTTCTGGGTCAAAAACTCAATTCCAGCCCCTATAACCCTTCCTAGCGAAGTACAAGACCTACAAAAAAGAAAAGAAAGTATTAGTAAAGACACAAAAAAATAAAAATCCAAGAAGAATATAAACTAGTACTTATCTTGGTACTAGTTTCGGGTTCAAAAACTCAATTCCAGTCTCTATAATCTTTCCTGGTGAAGTACAAAACTTTTGAAAGTGAAAGAAAACATTAATAAAAAAAAAATAAAAAAAAAACCAAATAAAAAAACTAAACCAAAAAAAAAAAGATCAAATAAAAAGATTGAGATTGAAAAATAAAAAAAAAAGATCAAAAAAGAAAAAAAGATCAAAAAAAGATTGAAAAAAAAAGTTCAAAAAATAACCTAAAGATCAAAAAAAAAAAAAAAGAATAAAGCTGAAAAAAAAAGATCGAAAAAAACTAAACCGAAAAAGAAAAAAAGATCAAAAAAAGGTTAAAAAAAAAAGTTCAAAAAATAACTAAAGATTAAAAAAAAAAAGAATAAAGCTAAAAAAAAAAAGATCGAAAAAAATTAAATCGAAAAAGTAAATCAAAAATTAGAAAAAGCAAGGTAGATAATTGTTAAAGTTCCATATGATGGTCAGGTAATACAAAGATTAGGGGATACAATGGGGTCAGAAATGATCATTGATCATGTGATCAAGACATTTTTCTAACACGACTAGTCTACCTTACTAGGGGGTTACTCATATAAACCCTCTGCGACTATATACTCTAACACCTATATCAATCAGCATCTATTTCTTCAATTCTATGAACCGGTCTCTCTGATGCACATTCACATGATAATTTAGGACTTTAAAGCAGACTTCTATTATCTTCGTAATCTACTTCTGGTCCTTTATCCTCGAAGTAAATCTTGCAGAATCTGCAATATTCCTACTTTATACTGCACCTAGCCTGCGCTTTAATTTGGTATATACAGACCGTAATTCACCACTTGCAGCTCAGTTTTACCTATTCTGAGAGTGATGTGATACCGGATCGAGGTTCTCGTCTATGGTTTTTCTCTCAGCTTAAACTTTCTTTTGCTTCCTTTCTACGATTTAACCACAGTTTTGGCTGAACTCCTCTATCCAAACCTATTTCTACCCTTGTAGAGTTTACTCAAACCCCAGAACTTACTTCACAATATATCACCAGTCCTTTAGTAATCTAGCTTCCTTTACCCAGACTTCCAATCCAGATAGCTCGGTATGTAATTATATATTTTTCTCTAATTCGATAGCGGCTAGTTGGTGTTGGTGATTTTATCTATTCGTCAATAGCAGGAGCCCCAACCCTGGTTTTTGACTTCCAAGCTAGATGGCCCAATAACTATGTACTTTTCTTCTGCGTCTAGACAAGTACTCCTGAAAGGTGGCTAGTAGGTCTTCTACCATCGCTATAACTTTTCTGCAATTGTAGGAGTTCTCTAGCTAGATTTCCAATCCTCTTTCTTATTTGCAGCAGCCTGATTAGTGTGAATGCATCCCTAATACTCTATATTTCATCTAGCTTAGTTCATATGAGTTTTATTTTCTGGTCTAACCTTTACAGTAGCTCTGTCAAAGATCTGTGCTACCTCTCTACTCGGAACTTGCCAAGCAGGCTTCTATATTCACAGTTCTCTAGATTTATACAGCCTGGAGGCTTATCTTGTATTTGCACTGCCTATTATCGGTTTGCATTCCTTTATATAACATTATGTCATACAAATGCCTCAGATCTTCTAGTCTTGCTAGTGCGACCATAGTTACAGGTATCCTATTCTAACTGATCAACAAATATAGTTAGCCATAACACAAGCAGAATTTTTGAATTTTGTCACTGGTGAGATTCGAACTTTTGACCTGCTACTTAGAGAGTAACAACTTGACCACTTCACTATATCACTACACCCCTATGTTCTTTATTATAAATATAGAGTTAACTAAAAGTAGCACCAAATCTATAATATAAAATATTAGTTGCTAGAATAAATACTTTCTTAAAATTGGGATAGCTGAAAATAGGAGTACAATGAGTTTTTGTTTTAGCTCAATAAAAAAGTTTTGTTAAACTTCAGTTTATTTATAAAATTCATCTTTCTAAAAAAGTTAATTCAAGGTCTTTACAATTAGCAATAATATTCTACTAATTTTAGAAAAGATCATAATTAAATTATATTCTTAGGAGGTAGAATTTGTTAAATAGCTTCGATTTTCTAAAAATCTGAGGCAATTTCTTTAAATAATATTATATATCCTAAAAATAGTAATCTTTGTATTTAAAAATTACACTTCTTGATATTCAATCAGAGTCTAGTTTGTCTGATTCTAGTAAAAACTTCTCATAAATAAGTCAAATATTCATCAAAGGTCTTAGAAAATACAATAGTATTATTTAATTATATTATTACAAATCTCTATGCTATCTTGTTATAGACTCTGTTCATTAAGTATTGGAAGGTTGCAAAGATATTACAAAGTTCAAAAGGTATAATATTAAACTCATATATTTCATAGCGAATAACAAAAATAGTCTTTTTTTAGTTTCTAGAATGCATAGCTATTTGCCAATATCTACTAATAAGATCTAGTATAGAGAACCAATATAATCTAGCTAATGTTCTAAGCTGATTAAGCTAGCCGCTTAGCCGACCGCTTAGCTACTTAGCTAGCTAATAGTTTCATTAACCGGCTAAACGGCTAATAATAGCTAATAACAATAATACATATATCATAATAATACAATCCAGAAAATCAATCTAAAATGTGTTAAAAAACAAGCTTTTAGCAGTCCAAAACAGAGCATCTATTAAAGTAAAGAATTTCTTATTTTGGCTAATAGATAAAGCTATGGTGTAACTGCCCCATCTGATTATAATTAATTAAAGAACCTGTGCAAACAAAGCTCCCAGTACTACAAAAAAAATTTTTTCATATCATATTATCATTATACAAATATAGATATTAATTTTAATTAGATAATCGCATATTGATTCACACATTAACTTCGAAGATTATTTGAATATCTAATTGAGTTAATTCGTTCATTTTATTTGAATTATTAAAGCAAATGCTATTTATAAAGACATATAAATATATTTTATATTCCAATTAGCAGAGGAAAGCTTATTTTAAATTTTGGCAAATGTGTAAAATTTTAATCATCGACTATATCAAAAAAATCATAGATAAAAATTAGTACATCTATTAACTGCGAAACATATATGCTTTTATAATTGTTGACTATGCTTTTCAAATAAATTATAAATTCACAAACCTAAAACCTGACTTTTTCTTGGCGATATTCATATTACTGTAATATTGTATAAGCTTATGACTTTTTCAACTGATCTATTTGATATCGCTAATGTATCAAGCTGCTAACTCAAAAAGTCAACTAATTAAAAAACATAGTTATAAATTATAAGAAAATAATAATACTAAAAAAGAAAAGGCTGTGAGAATGGCTATACAAAGGAGTATGAAAATATTAAATATTGAATCACAGATTGTGTTATTAATTAACTTCTCTTTATAATTCCAAAGCCCTGATACAATGAAACTTGCTGATAAGAAACTTCTTATATGTTCTTCAAATAAATCTTTTATTTTACTTCCAAATCATATGTTCTGAGTATATTTCTTGAATTATCGTTATCACTAAATAATAATAAAAAAATAAATAAATAAATAATAAATAAACAAATAAATAAATCAATGCTCATATAATCAAATTCAAAAAAAAAGTTCCAATATTGATTTTTTCATAATGGAGGATTCTTAAGATGACGAATTTTTTATGTCTTCTTTTTCATCAAATTCATCTCAAATATACGGTAATTTATATGATGCTAATTTATATAATGAGAATTTAGAAAGTGGTGAAAAATTCGATGATTTGAATGAAAGCTCAGAGGCTGAAAAGGAAATATCATCAGCTACTACACGCAAAAATGAACAACCTTTAAATAAATCTAGCAGAAAAAGATTACCTTCCTAGACAAATCAATATTTTGATATTTTTAGGCTTGAAAAAAAAAGAAAATATAATGTCCTAATTAATACAAAGGAAGGAAAATCTAAATGTAGGCATTCTTTTGAACTTCAAACCAGTACAAGTAATCTTGCTTCGTATTTGCGTATTGTTTATCAAATCTATAAACCCGATAATTCAAAAACTCCAACTTTTGCACTGATTCAAACAAATCAGCCAACAATTGAACAAACTTTAAATAAGGTTACACCTCTTTCAGAAAAAAACAAACCTGAATTATGTATTGGCTTATTTCTTGGCTTATTGATGATTTATAAGCTTTTAACGTACTTAGTAATGAGAAGTTTCGTGATTTAATATACGAATGTGAATCTTGATTTCAATTTCTATATATTGATTATGTAAAGCAAAAAATTGCATTATTGGTTATATTTAGTGAATCAAATTTAAAAAATTTGATTAAAGAAACTCTTACTTCATTTAATTTTACTACTAACTTGTGGACACAATTCCATACACCCTATATTGGAATAACAATACATTGGCTTTCAAATAATTTCATTCTTTATCAAGTGCTTTTGACAATTCAACAATTTCCTTATCCTCATACTGGCGATGCAATCGAAGACTTTCTTCGTGATTCGTTTATAAAATGAAATATTTCAAGTAAATTATTCAGAGGATCGACTGATAATGCTACTGCAATGGTAAAAGCTTGTAAGCAGCTTCATATTGTTCATATTGGTTGTACAGCTCATACATTGTATCTTTCTGTTAATGATGGATTAAAAAAAATAGAAGCATTAATTGTAAAAGCAAAACGATTAAATAGTTTTTTATGTAACTAAGACAAGTATCGTAGTGATTTGATGAGTTATTTTGTAAAACAACATCCAGAATTAAAAGAGCTTCAACCAATTAGT